TATATATATATATATATATATATATATATATATATATATATTTGACTATACCTCGTTCATCAAACTAAAGCGTTCCATCATTGCGATCCATAATCGACTAAGAAGGATAGTCGTCCCGTGATCCAGAAGCAACACGAAGGATTATCGATGAATCCAATAATATTCACAACTGATCGAAATCGATAGAGACACCCTACTGATACGTAATCGGTGAGCAAAGCCAAGCTTAAGAGGACATTTCTCGACTACTATTCGGGAGCTCCTGGAAGAAACGATCATTTGTTCGACTTACGGAATAGTTGTACAGTATGCTGACATTAGAATAACAGATATCTCGGGCACCCTGTCGAGCAAGCTAGTTTCAAAGAATTCGTACAAGTCCTTTGGGATAGATTTTAAAAAATATCATTCTGAATTACGATTTCGTGACTCGCCAAAATGGTCTTAGTCGTTTACCTTTTCATCAAAGAAACAAATCGTTCATTCTGTTTACAATACGTATTGAAATTAAGATGCGATAATGTAGAATATCATTTAAAAATAAAAAATAGGTTATAGAATCCATTTGACTGGAATGTATTAATTCTTATAATCACGATTGCCAATTCGTTCTAGGGTAAAACACGAAATGATATGAATCGCCATCTGGCGGTTTTAATCTGGAAATAGAAAGGGAAAAAATTTTTTGCATGCAAAAATTATAGTGCTATAATTATTCATAAATTGATTTTTGATGAAATAAATATTTCCTAAAAAGAATTCTGACTTTTGGAAGATTCGAGTTTCGAGTTTCAAGATTTCGCAAAGTTTCGATCTATCGTATTCGACTTTCGATCTATCTCTAATCTAATTCGACTTATAAACATCTAGGATTTTTTTCATACTTCCTCTTTATGATTTGTTAAATAAATCATCGTATCAAATAAATCTATCTACTTTTAAAAATAATAACTAACAAATTTAAAAAGGTCAATAAATCGAAAAACGTGATTACGGTTTTGCTAAAGATTTTACTAAAAGAAAGACACTCTATTCGAGTCACGTGGTTGTCACGTGGGTGCAGATATTCCCGATATACGAACAGATATTCTTAGTCGCATATTCGAGATGTTCGCCAGTGGGTGATTAATGTCTTGCGGTGTATCCTTCTTTTTGATTCTTGTTTTTTTTTCTTCTTTGGACCTCACGCGTATAGTCGGCTATTCACATCTCCGGATTTATACGTGTAACCTCGCATACTCGCGCGTGAGTTGCGAGTCACCTTGTGACGTTGAGGTTGGAAACGAATAAAGGACATCTCAACTGACATTTTCTCATTACAAGCCCATGAAGGTAAAAAAAATATATTTTTGATCGAAGCTCTCGAATATTCGCGAATATTTTCAAGTCTATAGGTTTCTGTAGTCTAATCGAATCAAATAATCTAACCTAACTATTGCGAAATTGAACATAGTTCATATAGTTTTGTTCTTGTATAAATTTGCAAATTTAGATTTTTTTCTTTCGTTTTTTTTAATAATCGAATAGCAAATAATATTAAATTCACACCTTTAATTACAATTAAAAATTACAATTAATGTGGCATCGACATTGAATTTTTAAATACATGATTTTTGTTTGATATTTGTTTGTTTTCTTTTATAATAAAAATTTTATTCGTTTATCTCGATATCAATATTCTCGATATTTTTTCAAACATTTTTTTTCAAAGATCACGAAAACATTGATATATATGTGCGTGGCTGTCATTGACGAGCAAATACCGCCAGTGTTCCATCGGACTAAGGAATTCGCCTCGTAAGGCAGTTCAAAACCAGCTGTGATTTTCTTTCTTTGGTCCACCCTCGTGTGTCAGTGCTTTTCAACCAGTAAACGAGTGTCTTTTAGATTAATTTTTTAAATTAATAAATATTCGTCATTATTCTCTGCTTTTGCTATGATCTCTTTCGCGGATATCGTTTCATGGATCAGAAAAAAGAAAAAAAAAAAAGAAAAAAATAGAATATGACAAAGGAAAAGGACACGAATTTCAAACGAGCGGAATGAAACAGAAATCGCTCTATTAGCGATGCCAGAGCGTCGGAATTCCGGTTCTCTTAATTCAGTGTGGCCGATACTCCGCGACACCGAATCGGCTGCTGCTTTAATCACGACCTTATCGTTTCTGCCTTAATGGCACTTAAATGCGAATGCCTACACTCTCCTGAGAAAGGTATCGAATTCGAGATGCACGATGCTTCGCGACCCGGAGGTAATCTACATTTTCTGCCTACTGTCGTGATTTCGACGATTTCCTAAACATACCAGGGGGGCCGATAATTTCGAGAATCTGAAATTACGAAGATACGATAAATCGATATTGGAATTAATAAAAAGATGTTTTGACAAATTTTTTTTTACGAATATAATATTATAGTAATGTATTCATAGAATACTTTTCTAAGAATGTATTTTTGGAGAAAAGCTAAAGTAAAGAGTTGATATGTAAAAATATAGGTTATATTTATTAACTTACAATAATATTTAATAATCGAACATTTATTCCATAAAGTTCAATATATTCTTTTGAAGAGATCCTCACTTTCCTCATTCTAACTAGTTCTTTCGAAAAATAATTTCATTTATTTTGTTACTATTGTCAAGTCACTTACCATTTCTAACTTTCATAAAACAATATAATTCCTCGTAAAAATTCTTGACAAACTGCGGTTACAACTAATTAAATATATTACCTATTTATTCAATTTTATTACCATATAATTCTCATTGTAAACTGTCAAATAACTATCAAAAAACGGTGAATTAATTAATTCGATAAATTCCTTTAAATTTACTCTTATTAAAATATATTCTTTTACCTGAATAATTAAGAAAATTTAAGTTTCTAAATTTTTTTTAAAGTTATACAAATTTTCTTCTTTTAATTTTCTTTTAATTGAAAAATTTATTTTTCAAAACATGACAATTCTCAAATAATAAAAAAATTTCTACTTTTCTTCTACATTCAGAATATGTATCTCATCGTAAATGTCATCATGCACATGAATATCGTATCTTTATAGAGAATGATAATTCAATTGTAAAATATCGCGAATTTTATAATTTATCATGTGATCCATTTATATCTCCAATGATATTGAAGATAGCGATCATGATCTGGCTACGTAGTGCGAGAATCGAATGCATTCGAACGAGGAACGGAGGTGTAAGGAGGGATCATGAATTCTCTACTGTGCAGAGGTCGGATAGCGGCCGACTTAATCCCCTGTTGACTTATAGGGCCCGCCTATGTGGAAGAACAAATGAATAAATTAGGGCGGGGTCGTTTGGTAGCCGATGTACGGCCCTGAAGATTTATAGATACCCAATACCAGTTCTCCTGGTCTGGTTACACGGTGCTCTTCCACTCTTCTCCCTTGCCCCCTCTCTCTTGCCCTCGCTTGATCCGACGTAAACGCGGCAGAAAAGAAAAGGGTGGCGCCACTATTTATGCTAATGACACTTCGTTGAACGTTCACGAGTTCTATGAGGAACATAGAATTGAAAAATTGCGTCATCTTTTGCACTTTGCTGGTTTCGAAAGAAAAATAGTGGTGTCTCGGATCGCAAAATATCTTAAATGACTCAATTGATATGGTTAAGAAAATAATTTGTGAAGATATCGTGAAGATGGTATGCTACCTAACCTTTAAAGTTTATTATTTAAAATATATTGTGATACGATAAATTTTAATTAGAATGGGAAATTTTCGATTTGTTGGAATAATTTCAAGTTTTATAAAGTAATAAAAAAATGCTACAAGAATTTATAGTGTAGTTATATCGTTCGTGAATAGAATTTCAAGGAGCGAGAAATGGTATTCAAAGTCAGGTTTCGATGTCTCGTTAGGAACGCGCATGCGCTTCTAGGAGTGCCCTGTGCACGATCACCATAACCAATAATGCCCAAAAATATCTTGGATGCGACGGTGACGGTGCAATTTGTGAACCAACTAATCCTTCCGTAGCTTACCATATTTTTCCATACAATAACCAATCCTTCGATCCATTCTTCGTTTTCATCTACCACTTATACATCTCGTATTCTTCATCTTGTAGCAAAATTCTTAGTTGTGAGAAACAAATTATTTATATTAAAGTAAAAAAAGTAATTTATCAACGTGGAATAAACTATTTACAAAAGAATTTCTTTTAGTATCAAATGACATTTTTGCATATTTTATATTAAAGATAAATTATACAAACGTATATAAATATTAATTAGTTTTTTCCAAGAGATAAAATATTGAATATTTTGCAAAATATTAATCACTTACATCAATCTTTATTATCTTTAATAGATTTTATCTTGGCATAAGATCTCATTAAAAGATATATCGATTTTCATGTAATTGGTAGCCAGAAATCGCTCGTGCATATCTATCACTTCGAAAGCAACAGTCGTAAATGTGTGATCTGTTTCCTGGTGTCGAGGCGGCTGAAATTCAAAGGATCTCGAGTCATTTGTAGGGCGAGAGGAGGCTTGGGACTGAGACGTCGAGATAATCTCGACGTAATCTACCGACCAAATCGCGAGAGGTCGAGCGACCCTTAAACCGTGGCTCGCGCTTGTGACGCGCCTCCAAAGGACAAGCGAGTGGCGAAGTAGTATGTTAATGAGGACAGGACCGTCGGATTCTCGTGCATGGAGGTCCTGAATGAACCTGCAATCTTGACCAAAATAGCACCTTGAAACTCGTTCCTTTTCCTCGTTGGATTCTTGCTTTTTGCGAACCTTGAAAAAATCTAGTTATCGCTCGAATAGCAATTTAATGATAATTTAATAAATTTTCCTCAAATCATCTACCAATTTAATTGTAATTTTCTTACGAAATAGTGGAATAGTGATAGATGAAAACAAGTAAGTTCCATGATCTTCATTTTTGCAAATATAAATTTCCCTATTCTCGATGTTAAAAATTATCAGAATTATTCATCAATTGCAATTCATATTTCTGTAATTTAATTCTGTTATTAATTATCTTCTTTTTTAAATATCAATTTTCTCTCAATTTTCAGAACATTCGGTGCTAAATGCGCGAAATGCGGTCGAAGCGTGGGCGCCGGTGACTGGGTGAGGAGGGCCAGGGAAAGGGTGTATCATTTGGCTTGTTTCGCTTGCGACGCATGTTCTCGCCAACTCTCCACCGGTGAGCAATTCGCCCTCCTGGACGCCAGATTGCTCTGCAAAGCTCACTATCTCGACGTGGTGGAGGGAAACAATACCTCGTCCTCGGAGGATTGCGACTCTGAACACGGTGGGAAAGGTAGCAAGACGAAGAGGGTCAGGACGACTTTTACGGAGGAGCAGCTATCGGTTTTGCAAGCGAACTTTCAGTTAGACAGTAATCCTGATGGCCAAGATCTCGAGAGAATAGCGCATGTCACGGGGTTGAGCAAACGAGTGACGCAAGTATGGTTTCAGAACTCGAGAGCCAGGCAGAAGAAACACAGTGGGAAGATCAAGACCCAAAGTGAGTAGATCTTTTCGTTATACTTCGAATTTATCTTGTGTTATATCGCAAAAATAATAAATATATTTAGAATGAATTTGAAATTAAATTAAACTGTAATTTTGTTGCTTGCAAAAATTGTCATTTTGACAAGTAATATAAAATGTAATAGGATTGTAATATTTTTCATAAAATATTTAATATAGGTTAGAGCAATATGGGAAAATAAAATAATTAAAATAATTAAAATATCAGTGGCAGTATTGAAATAGAGAATATAAAAGATATTATTTTCTTAAAAAAAAAACAATGAAATGTTTAATAAATTAAATCATTAGAAATCTCATTTTTAATACTTGCATTTAAAAATTTAGTGCACCATTCACCACCGATGCAACATCACCCAGTAGAATTATATCCAACCAGCGTGAACATGGTAGGCGCCTATTTAGGAGGATATCAGGGTGGTAGCGCAGGAAGTGAAAGTCCTGGCAGTCCATTGACACCTCTCACCCCTCTGACACCTCTAACCCCAACAACGCCCAATCACCTTCAAGCTCAGTTCTGTCATCAAACAGGGTAAAACTTCGTCCAAGAATTGAAACCGATGATTAAATTCAAATTTTCCAAGTTTCAAAGACATTTCTGATTTTTTTAAAATGAAAAGTTTCTGATTAAAATCTTTTAAAACATTGATCTCGTAAAATTCAGAGAACAAACAAAAAATAATAAAATTCCTGGATTTCAAAGAGGATAATTTGATTTATAATTAGTGGAAATTTTTAATATTTTTATAATTACTTTAGTAGATGATTTTTTAAATTTAAATATGATGGATATTTGATAAAAAAAGAAGATAAAATCTATAATGAATCTATGATGGAACTTTATGAAAAATTAAAATATTAATCCTCTTTGAATTCTTCATTGTTCTCTATTTTTTGTACATACCAAAAATGAATTGTTTAAAACAAGTAAAAAAAGTAAAAGTGATACTACAGATAGGATAGGATTCTATGAGGATTCTAGGGTACGAATAAATGAAATGAATTAATTATTTATTCCATTTCAATTAACTCCCATGACTGATTTCTCATTATGATTTCTTTTCATTTTAACAGGTGTTTTATTCATCAAAAGTGCAATCAAACGAAAATTAGAATTACAATTTTAAATGTGTTCATAGAAATCTTGTATTTTGCAATTAGAAATTATTTTATAGATTTTATTTCTCAAAGTCAAATAATTATTCAAATTAATTTCCATATTTTCAACTTTTTTATAATTCCGTTAATAATTTTTATTCTTTATTTATTTTTAATTTTTAAAATCATAGCAACACATTGAATGTATGATTAAATAACGATAGGTCTCATTTTTAGCGATAAAAATTGTTACGCTCATTAGCATTCATTAAATTCTTACGTACATGTCTCTTATAAAGTATTTTATTTTTAAGATAAAATTGTACATAGACATATCCCGTAGCTTTTGTATATAAATTTCAAAAAGAATCGTGCATGAGTATTTGATATCGCTCTCCATATTGTACACTCATAGCGCAATATTGTAAACCGTACTGTTAATAATAAAAATGTCTTTTACTGTTAATATCATTATTTATTATTTTTGATCCTACATTTCTCTATACTCCTTAAAAATTTTTCATAAATCTACGAAAAGATTATTAGTGTTTTTGAACTACTATGAATTTTTCTAAAATATAGCTAAATGTATTCAAACCGTGTTATAACCTATAAAAAATATATGCTTTCCTTATACATGTTGTGATGTTATATCGAATTATGAAAATTGATATTTGTAAAATCATAGAAAATTTACATAATAATGAAAAAATATCTACATTTATATAATATATAAACGTCACTATATTTAAAGGATAAAAAAGTTCTTTATAATATAATGATATTAATACTTTTTCTTTGGGCTGGGAAAATCAACATGAAAGTAGATAAATATGTGCAACATTTTATATTGTATATATACTTAGTTTACAATATTTACATCACAGTACATTAAGTATATTAAATAATGATTCTTTTTACGATTACACAATTAATTATCTAAACACTGTAAAAGATACTTTCATTCGGAACATTGCTTTCTGATGTTCCCCGAGATATACCGAATATACCCGAGTCGACACGAAACGAGACTTCGGCAATTTTCGGGGACACCGAACATCTCTCGAGTTTTATCGTTTACGCTAATCATATATTCGATCTTACACGTTTTATTAAAACGATAACCTGATTATATCAGGAAATTCCGTGGATCAATCAAAGTGAGGACAACTATCGTATGTATCATTCTCTCGAAAAGAAGGAAAATTACATTTATCACTTTTTTAAAACCGTAAAGGACATTCCTTATTCATATAATCGAAGTTTGTGTATCGATGGATTTAGATCGAACTTTTTAATACTCGTGATTAACCCTTTCCATTGAATTTACTATTATAGGTTATTTCTGATTCAATCATCATATTCTTTGAATTTCGATGTTCAAAAAAATTAAATGAGTTTAATAAAATTAAAAATTAATTAATTCGAAAAGAAAACATGGAAATGGAAAGGGTTAAAACTTGATTCGGAACTAGAAAGTTGATAACGAGTTGATCATCACCTATCAATCGCTACGGAAATATTCGCGATTCATTTCCATATTGGTGCACGGAGACTTGTTTTATGCATTATATGGAATGTTTAATTGTATTCACTTATTTATAATAAGCTTAACATCCAGTGCGAGAGAGCTGTGCTGCCATCCAGTCTTAAAAATTGGCTTCTCTACATTTTGCTGGTTATCTTAATAAGTTAACAACGATTTGGGCGGATTTCGTTCTAAATTATACGAAATATTCGGATCAACGACGTTTTATTTGAGATGAAGTATCGGAATATTTAATCCTTTGAAACGATGTTACAAATTTAAACATTTTTTTTTTAAATGTTATCTATTTAATTAATATTCCTTCCTTTGATCGAAACATGGAGTATTCTTTAACTTATAAATTAAAATAAATATATTTTGTATAAATATATTTTGTTTCAAGAACACGCTTCAAAGGATTAATTAATTAATTGAATAAATATGAAGATCACAGACGAAGAACTTGGTAAGTTATTTTTTTTCAATATTTACAATAGAATATCTTTTATTAAAATATTTTCATAGTTTTATTTAATTTATAATAGAATTAATCATGTTTCGGTTATTTTCGATTAATATCGGTAATTTGTCGAAGATTAGCAGAAGAGGATCGGCTATTGGATTTTGATTCTCAAAAATAACCGAGAATGTCCGAAGTTAGAACGAATCGTTACGAATCGTAATTCGATCGTGATTGAATTAATCGAAGATGATCGAAAAATAATCGGCTTTAAAATTTTTAATTTGTAACATCATTAAATTTTTACCTCTTATAATATCTTATAATATATTAAATTAATTTCTTTCAATTAAAAACGTGATGTAAAAAAAAGAAAATAGATTTCTTTGAACTTGTTTAAATTTTTCTTCTGTGATTTTCATATGTTATTTCAAAATAAGTACTAAAGAAATAAAATAATCGATGTGTTTTAAAAACGCGACGGTAAAAAATATTTTGGAAAACAATCAGAATTCCATACATTTCTTTTCCTTTTTCGACATTCACCGGATGAAAATTGAAAAAAGAAAAGTAATAAATCAAGGAAAACTTTTTTATTCCTTGCTTTCTTTTTATAATAAAATTCTATCTAAATCTTGACAGATAAATCGAAATCTGATTCTTAGATCTAAAATAAGAATTCGAAACTTTATAGGATCTCAAAATTCTCAAAAATTTCAAAATTTTATGAATGAAAAATCAAATATATCGATAAAATGTATATCAATAATTACTTATTTGGATTTCGAGAATTTTAAAATTTCTCTCTTTTTTAATCGCGACGAATTCTGTCCATCTTCGATCGAAGAAACAGATACGAAATGAAATGTTCATCGAGAAAGGTTTCGACTAAAGTGGAAAAATCTTCTTAACTAAAATAAAGGAATATTTACAACGAGGAGTGGTCCAACGGCGATTAAACCTCGTTCGGCATCGACAACATCATCGAGTCTTGCGAGAGTTCATCCATCGATTGTTCCGAGCCTGAGGACAAAATTGACGGTGGTCTTTCGATAGAGAACAGACCTTTTTAAAATAAAAATTTTATTTCGTCCTCTCCGCTTCGTATTTGATTATAAAATAAACTACAATTTTAATCCAATGATTTTTTTTTGATTATAAAAAAATTTTTGAATAAATTATTTATAAAAAATTTGAAAAAATTTTGATTATAATTTTATTATAAATCAAAAAAGAGAAGAATTTTTCAAAAAATATTTTCCATACATGCAAGGAAATGAGTAATATTCTCACCATGATTATGATAAATCGAGGGTGTGGGACTTTTGCACGTAGCCGGACTTAATTGCGGAGGTTGCTGGCCATGATGGTGTTGCTGTTGATGTTGAAACGAATAGGTCAGATGTAAATTGATGTGTCGACCGAAATCGCCAGTGGACGCGTTTGAATTTGGTGGTGATTGATGAACTGCAACAATAAATAATATTTCTTTGATTTCGAGCTATGCTCGTCTAAGAAATTTTTAAAATCGTATCTTCTATTATATATATATATATATATATCTATAGACTTAAAACGTTTGAAGTAATATATTCACTATAATATATTTCATTTTTAAAATAAAAATAATCAATAATCAATATTCAAACAATAGAATATAATTAGATATATAATAATTGTTTAAAAAAAATTATGTAAAAAAAATATATATATAAAATAAATATATCATTATACGAAAGGAGAGAAACATATTTTATAAATAATTATACTTCCAATATCATTCGGATAAAACAATGAAAAGATAAAATGAATTCGGAATAAAATCATAAAAAAAGAAAAAAAAAGGATATTAACAAGAATCTTCTTCCACTTAGACAAATATCGATGAAAGAAACAAACGCAAGAAGTACCGTGTTGCCCTTTCATTTTTCCCGTGTGCAGATGCTTCTTCTGCCTCGCCCTAGAATTCTGGAACCAAACCTGCGTAACTCTTTTGCTGAGTCCCGTCACATGGGCTATCCTCTCGAGATCTTGGCCGTCCGGGTTGCTGTCCAATTGGAAATTCGCTTGAAGAACGGACAGTTGTTCTTCCGTGAACGTGGTTCTCACTCTCTTCGCCTTGTTACCGCTCTTGTGCCCGCTCTCGGAGTCACCGCCTTCTGCGAAAGTACCAATTAGAGGTGCTCCACCATTTATACGCCTCTCCAGAGATACATCTCTCCAGAGATCTATCTATCTATTGTTTTCCCCTCTTTATTTTACACGGATTTAGATCAGTAGCTTGGATCGTAAAATAAAGATTAAGGGAAATGTAAATGTGAAAAAATAAAAGAGACGAAAATAAATTAATAATTCTACTATTGGAATCGTACGAGTAGGTAATAATAGTTATATATTTGACTCATATCATAATTTTCGTTATTTACTTTAATAAGGAATGTGTAAGGTATCTGCACAGTCTCACCATCGGAAGAAGTGTTGTTGCCTTCGACGACGTCCAGGTAGTGAGCCTTACAAAGCAATCTGGCGTCCAGGAGGGCGAATTGCTCGCCTGTGGAGAGTTGACGGGAACAGGCGTCGCAGGCGAAACACGCCAAATGATACACCCTTTCCCTGGCCCTCCTCACCCAATCCCCCGCACCCACGCTTCGACCACATTTCGCGCATTTAGCACCGAATGTTCTGAAAAATAAGAATTTTCGAATTGCTTTTTAAGTTACAAATGTAAAGATTAATTGTATCAAAAATACAAAACAATTTCGAATATAAAAATTATATAATATAAAAATATAAATAAATATATCGTCAAAGATTCATTCTTCACGTTTTCAGAGCTGCTGTTCTTCAAGAGAATGATTCTTATTCTTTTTCCATTAATAATTTTATCAATCACGGCTTGAATAGAACGAGTCGAGAATTCATAGTTTTTCTAATTTAACGTGACTAACTACGCATTGCCATATCGGGAAATCCGAAGCGTCGTAAAGAATTTGCAGGCACGCAGCACGCGGCCACCTGCAGCAATGGCGCCAATAAATTCAACGATGGAAGGTGAACCGTCGAGGATTTAGCTCCTTCTGACTCTAACGAACGCGCGTTAAAGAAAACGTTTCGCGTCAACTCCCTCGGGTGTTCGCGTGCACCAACATTCAACTGTCGATAGGAATTGCACGAGAGGAAAAACGCAAATCCTCTTTATGAATTTCCTGCACACTCGACTCGAATTATTAGTAACCATGAGGGTAGATGATTCGAACATTTGACTAGGATTTGTTTGTTATTTCTTATTGTTGAAGTGCAGATCTTTAAAATTAAATCTGCATAGAAATAAGTAAAGAAATGCAAAGATTTAAAGATAAAAGTAACAAATGTTTCATGTATATATTTCATACGTAGATATACTATATTATTAGAAAGATTAAGGACAAACTTCAAAAGCATTTCTAATATTCATTAAACAAGTAAAAGAATTTTAATA